CATCCGTTAAAATCGAATACAGCACACGAGACCGCGACGGTCGATCAACAACGTTATTGATATGTAAAAATAGACAAATGGTTTAACGTCCTATCCGTTCGGTTTATGTTACTTCAGACGGTTTGTCCTTTTTTTTATTTTTTTTTTTTTGTTTTTGTTTTCTTTACCTCTTATTCTTTACGCAATATAACACACATTTGAAATATTTTTCTAGCGAAATATTTTCACAAGTTGGTACTATTAAACGCAAGATTTGCCGTAATAATTTTTGAACAGCAGCGATAAGAGCATTTTGAAATTAAACGATCCGACTCGTTAATCTTGAAACTTTCGCGAATGTAGTCTTTAATTAAAGCCGGTGGACGGTTCCTACGCGAGAAGACGTTTCAAAGCGAAAACTTCTACGGAGCTTCGCGAAATCACGATTCCGTTGTAAATAACGGAATGAACGGTGAATCTGATTTACAATTAATTTGACTTGGCGAAAGCTTGAATCAGAACATAAGTAAGAATCAGCAAACGAAGAGGGATGAGATAAAGAGAGAGAGAGAGAGAGAGAGAGAGAGAGAAGAAAATTTTCCTTCTTTCTATCTCTAATACCTACTATCTCTGAATTATCCAAAAGATGCCGCGAGTTTTCAGTGCTTAAGAAAACTTCAATAATTACCAGACTGGATTATCGAGTTCTCAAGAGAACGAGAAGTAAGGACAAAAAAAGAGAGCAAAAAAGATAAAAAGAGAAAGAAAGAGAGAGAGAGAGAGAGAGAGAGAGAGAGCAAGAAAAAGAGAGAAAAAATAAAATAATATAAATAGAAGGCAAAGTGGACTGTAAACGATGTACAAGAAAACGTAAAAGTTTAGATAACGAAATGAAGTTGAATCTGAGTTAACTCGAATGGTAGTTATATATCCTCTTTCTAGAGATTGAAATATCTAGAAAATGAGTTTACTTTTTTAAAAGAACAAGAAAAGAAATAGGAATAAGGCGGTTAAGAAAAGATAGAAAAAGGGAGCAAAATAGAGAAGGAAATAGAAAGGAAATATCGTCGAGCGACTTAAATCCTATTATAAGAGAAAAAAGAAAAAAACGATTTACAAGTGAACGATAGAAAGAGATAGGACGACTCCTCGTACGAAGAGCAAATAGGAGATTCCGGAAAGACACGAGTTACTTTATTTAATAAGCCAGGAAATTAATTGCACCGGCTCTTCATTAGATCGCCTTTCGAGAGAGAGAGAGAGAGAGAGAGAGAGGAGAAAATCAACGAAACCAAACCGGCTTGGTTGTAGCTACGCGAGATCGCGATTACTTCGAACGTGACAGGAATTTCTTACTATATATTTCACCTCATTCCTTTCCGCACTTTACCTTCTTACATCTCGCATACGTCGATGATAGAAAAATCGAACGAATGAGATACTTCACGTAGACGTAATTACTTTGAAAATCACCTGTTTTTATCTTCTCTTATTCGTTTTACAAGATCAATTGATTTTAACTACTTGAAGAAATTCGTCGTTCCTTTTTTTGTTCTTTTTTACGAGAAATTATAAGAGATCATAAAAGAAGGAAAAAACTGTTTCAAAAAAAAAAAGAAAAAAGGATGAAGTCTCCGAGTTGTTAAACCGACTTTAGTATTCATCAGGATATCTACCGTTATCTTCTACGATTATTTTATACTAAGCGAGACAGAAGTAGTAATAGTACTTGAGATAGGTTAACCACCCTCGATAATAAGATAAGACACTTTATAGGTGAGTGGTATACAGGGTGTCCGAGCTGACGAAGGCTACCTAAATATTTCATTTATTTTTTAATTCAATCAAAATTATTTAAAACGTGTTTTTCTTTTTTTGATTGATTTAAAAAGAAATATATATCGCGAATAAATTTTCTTTTAAGGTTGGTTTTTTATCAATACTGTATATTTACCCTATAAGACTGTATTTTTTTTATATATAATACATTGTAGCGAGTGAAAAAATACATTTAAATATATCTGTATCATGACGTTCAAATGACTTTGAACGAGAAAAATGTGATAAAATTGTAAGACCCTAAAAGACACGAAACCAATCACAATATGCCTTACAATTAGACATTTTTTATATCATAAAAATAAAGAAAATATTTAGATGAATTCCTTCAGCTGGGACACCCTGTAGATTTGTACACGTAACATATATACCTTTTCTTCTAGCTCTCATCCGACGTTACTCCGGCAATTCCAGTGTTCAATTATCGAGAGGTTAAAAAGGATGAGAATACCAAGATGGAGAAAAAGAAAGARAGAAGAGGAAGAGGTCAAAGTTAATTATTTTCAGAGTCATAGAACCATTCTTCATAGAATTCCTGAGTTCTTAGCTCGTGGATAGTTTCCGTAAGTGCATCATGACTCTCTTCCCTCTCTCTCTCTCTCTCTCTCACTTCCTATATATACATATATTTTTTGTTTTCATCTAATATACTAAAAGACGAAGAGCAGTTTTTATTAATTCAGCGAGTCTTTCCTCTTTCGCAATTCTTCGAGAGAAGCACAGCAAACGATGTGTACGGATAGATGAGATAGAAGAGAAAGAGAAGTAAGAAGAATAAGAGGGGAATAAAGGAAAAAGGAAATGATCTTGTCCCTCCCAATTTTACGGACCACCTCGTCCACTCGGCGGTCCGTGAAGAAGAAACCAAATTGCGGCCAATACCACCACCCTTATGCATTTGTTCGTCTTCCTTCTCCATCACCCTTCATCAGCCTTCTCAGTTAGTTTTCTTCTTTTTCTATTTCTATTTCTTTTTCTTTTCCTTTTTCTTTTTCTTCTTCTTCTGCATGCATATTACCAGTCTCGAGAAAATCCTCAGACGTTCGAATCTTTTTCGCTCGAAGAATCTTGGATATTCGGACAACGACAATTCTCATTCTTGTCAAGACAATCACGTACGAGACACACAAAAAAGGCAAAAATACGTGAATTGGCATATTACGACGAATCCTCAACGCATATGATCATTCACAAATTTGTCCAAACGAGAATGTTTCATGAATATGTGTATGTACATATCATGTTTTGATCAAATAACTTGAAAAGCGAGAATTTTTATGGAATTTGAGTTAAAAGAAAATCTCATGGAAAATTGAGTTTGTTCGATGAGAAGGAAAGGAGATAGATAAGAAGTCAACGTGAAACATTTTCCCTTTCCGTTGTTTTCCAATCGTCGTTGCTCGTCATCGCGAATGTGATAGAAATATACAAGAATATATTTTGATCGTTTTTTAAAAGTATCGTCTTTCTTTCTATCGACAAGTATCATAAAGAAAACTAAAATACAGATTTTCTTTTCTATTTCAAATATTACGATTTACGATTTTCTTCCGTTTTACGTATAATTTTTGAGAAGAGAGAGACCTTTCGAAGTAAGAGATAGAAAACTTTCTTGACGAGAAACGGTGAAATGGCGCGCGAAATCTCTCTAACGGGATTTATGATATATGTAATATTTATGGCTATATATAATTCAAGTGATTAGTTATAATTCTTTATTGGATTTTTTTTTTTTCATGAAAAACTTATCGATTGTTACCTCTTTAACATTTGTTTCTTTGTTTCTTTATCATTTTTTTTTTTTTTAACCAAATACAACAAAATTAATATTTGAAGCCATTTCACATGCTTCACTACAAAAAATAATATAACATCGTCGGCGTATGATTTATTATCAATCTTCATACAAATAATTTTTATTTAATAATGTTAAGAAGTGTAATTATATATATATTTAAAAAATTTCTTTGAAAAATAAATATTTGATAGAATTATTCAAATGAAATTAATTGCTTTAGTTCGTAAACAACTGATTTGTTAAAATATGAAACTATATCGTGAATCAATGTAATAATATACAGAGTAATAGAGCTTTTAATAGAAATGTCTTGTTTCCAATTAACGTAGCTAATCGAACTGTCATCGTTATTCGATTCTAATATCCAATCGAAGTTCGTCCAGTTAATTTCCAACAACTATTAAACCGTTTTCTTGAAATTCAACGATACAGATAATAATCTAACAATAAGATATATATATATATATTGATCGATACTCTCGTTATTATTTTTTTGATTAAAGATTGAAAGTCTCAGATATTATTATCCGTTTCTTTGTTTATTTTTATTTTTATTTATCTGTCTTATTCCTATTTGTTAACACGAGATTATGATTAGACCATAGATCGGAAAATTGGATTAGTTTAAAGATTAAGTTCGGTTGTGTATTCGAGCGTGCAACGATTTCCTTTATCTCTTTCTCTTTCTCATTATTCTAACGTACTCCGCAGTAATTAATCCGAACGATTATACCTGGCCGCATTGTTCGAAGCATCAAATTAATTGTGGGAACGTTAAACCCCATCACGGAAAGGAGAGAACCGCTTGAAACTTTTCGGTCCCCTAGTGACTTCGTCCCTCGGCGACATTCAAGGTTAGAAACGGCGGGCCTCGTTTCGTCGAAACAAGATTTAGTCGGAAACTTTTTGAAGAGTATTTATATTAAAGTGAGAGTGAGAGAGGGAAAATATCAGTTAAACCAAGAATTCTTTAGATTCTAATCACCTTTTGTTCTTATTCTTTTTTTGAGTAATACGAAATTGACGTAACACGAATGTTAATTAACTATATAAAATAAAGAAGTAAGATATATAGGGATTTACTTAGTTAAGAAATAATAGAGATAATTAGGAAATTGATAGTTAAGAAGCGAGACGATTATTAATTAGAAATTCAATTGATTGTAGACACTTACAATTCTATCCAATTATATTTTTCAATAAATATATTATATATATATTTCCTGTCATATTTTCTTTAATTCCTAAGGAAAAATATAATAAATGATTATTAAATAAGTAATTAAAAATTAAAAAAAAAACCCTACAATAATAATATATTATAATGTAACATAAATTAATATACAATAGTAAAAATGTCGTAGTGTTTTTAACGTGTACTCACCATTCGCGTGAGCAGCAAGAAGATCTCTCAACTGTTGCTGGCCAGTGGTCAATTCCACGCAGCTGACCCTCACGCTAAATCTGGCACCGGTTCTCTGACGTTGCTCGGAAATTCCACGGAAGAGCCACGCTATCGCGCACGGGATTGCGCCCAAAGTGTGGCCTGCCTCAGGGGTACCCAACATTGTGTGAGACTTGCCTGGAAAAATAAAAGCACGTTATTGTCAATATCAACGGATATGTTTTGTTTTGTTTTTTTTTTTTCGTTATTTTTTTATTTTTTTTTTTTTTTTTTTTAATTTATCCTTTTTTTTATGTTTCCACTTTTGTTTTTCCATAGCTTTTTATCGCTTTTTATATAAATATTCCATCTTGTTTTTGTGAGTATAAATTGTTTTAATATAACAGCTTGTCAATTTTATTTTTTGACATTTTTTTTAAACGTCCTACCCGTGTTACTCTTTTTTCTTTATGTTTTTATTATCCACAAAATATCGTAATTATCTTTCATAGTTTTGAACAAAACAACAACAAGAGGATTAAAATGAAAAAAAGAATATAAAGATTTAATTATATTGTTATATCTCTTTTTACGTCGTATTCAAAACAACCCTCTTTTATTCAACCTTACTAAATGCTACGGTACTAGTACTATTAAAAATACGCTTATCGTTAAATACACACATTTGTATGCAAGCTTTGTCATGATACGATCATGAGTCGTTTAAACACGATTCACCAAACGTGACATTAAATATCGTTAAATTCTGATTAAAAACAAATAATAATAAAAATAACAATAACAATTTAAAAACTATAACAAAATAAGATAAAAAAAAATCGTAATAAAAATTACACTAATCAGTGTGTGAGAGAGAGAGAGAGAGAGAGAGAGAGACAGCTCGATTTTCCTATTTAGTGAAAATTCAATTAACGCCGATTGATTCAGTGCGAGTGTTCAACTAGAGCTCGATAGATGCAATAATTGCGATATTTGATTTGCGGTACGCTGTGAAGTTGCGATTAATTTGTTTACCATTTAGTGGGCAGATGTAACGCGTGACAATGAACCCCAAACGGTGTCGATGAGTCGAAAGACCAATGAAGATATAGCTCGTCGTTTCATGATTGGTCTGTCATAACGAGCCGCGGTTTTAGAGTAAACGCGCGATTACACCTTCTGGTAATTGTGAATTAAAGCTCGCGCAGATTCGGATCAAATACAGGAGGCTAGTAAAATCATTTTCATTGAATCAACGTAGATATGATATCATAGGTGTGAATTTTAAACATGTCATTTGATTTCCATTGACAATCGTTATTATTATTATTATTATTATTTTTATAATTATATCCTTACTATAGAATAATTTATCAAATGTTTTATTAATTACTTCAAATATATATTATTTCTTCTATACGTCCCGTCGTCGCGCAAGTTTTAATATTAACATAGTAGATGATCGGTTGTTGGTTGGTCGTCGGTCTCAAAAGGGTAAGAAAAGTTTTCCAAGTTTTCTGGAAAGATCGACGGCTGCCATGGCAAACGTTATTGATAGGGAAATAAAAGGGCCTTTATTAAAATCATAAAATAGTATGATAAAGTGAGAAGGATGATGAAATGCGAAGGAAAGTGCGGTAAACGAATGAATAAACGAGAAAAAGAAAGAGAAAGATAGAGAGAGAGAAAGAGAAGAAAACTGAAGATGAAATGAATATTAGAAAGAGAAAGAAAGAATGAGAGAAAGAGAGAGAGATTGGAACGAAACGAGGGCTGGAACGGTAACAGTCGAAATAATGGAAAAGCAGGAACGCCAGCGTTGAATCTTAAACGTTATTTAATTGTCTTAATGTAAGACGGTGAATTATGTTGTTATTTAATTAGAAAGACCGGGAAACGTGCCGTCTGCTGGTGCTTTCGTAGGATAAACTCAACGGTTGCTAGTGTGTCTCGGTCCGTCTTCTTATTCTTATTCTTTTTCCTTTTCTTCTTCTTCTTCTTCTTCTTCTTCTTCTTCTTCTTCTTCTTCTTCTTCTGCTACTACTTCGTCCAAAAACTTTTCGACTAGAGACTCTATTTCTTCCTAAGCTACTCCTTTACCAACCTAAACTACCACCCTCCTACACGACAAAATTTTAGCAATCTAACTAAGAGAAGGAATCTTATATTAGTTATTAAATATTATATAAATTCTATCGAGAATAAGTTATCTTCGTATGATACTTAACAATTTGTTGTTGTCCATATGTTTATTTTTTTATTTTTTTTATATTTTTGTCTCTTCTAATGAGGTATTTTTGATTTCATTTGTTAATCCATTCGCGATTGATCAAACGACAATACTTTTTCTCTCTGGAAATTTGTTCGAAAATAGTGAAAAAGATTTGACAGATAAAGAAAGAGAGAAATAGTAGAGTAGATATAGGGGATGATATTGAAAAGAGAAATGAAGGAATACACCATAAGAGTTATGCACACTGGAGGGTAATTAGCAACGCGTTACAAAGTACAAAGTGGACTTATTGTTGCGACTCTGTTTGCGACACTCTTTCTTCCCTTCGTTTTTCTCTTTCTCTCATTTTCTTTTTCTTTTTATTTCTATCTATCTATCTGTCTCCTCATCCTCCACCACAACCACCACCACCACCACCACCAGCACTGCTCTCAAACCCCCTTATTTTCCCTCTCCGTTCTTCCTCATGCCGTTGTTCGTTCATCTACTTTCAGATTTTTCGTGTGACAAATGCTGCACAGAAAATCTGTTGCTTTGAAAGTTCCATCGTTCAACCCTTCCTTCTATCAATCCATCTGTCTTTCTCTCTCTCTTTCTCTCTCTCTCTCTCTCTCTTTTTTTCTTTATACATACCCATCACCACTTGTACGAACATTCTCTTCCCTTTCTCCCCACTAATTTTTTTACTCTCTCTCTCTTTCTCTCATTCTCTCTTTTTTATTCGTCTCTTCCTCTTCGTATTTTTCCAGTCGTGTTACTCCGTTCTTTTTCTTCTCCCTTTCTCTCTCTCTCTCTCTCTCTTTCCCTGTATTCTTGTTACTTTATTCTCGTTATCGTACACACAGTACTTTTTATCAATCCACCAACGTCACAAATCTCACACTTCGCGGATTCCATTTCGAAAATTGTATACATTCGATTACCTTTCTACCTTTTTCTTTTACGTATTTTTCACATTTTTTTTTTTTTTCCATGCCGTGTAAATCTTTTCTTTTTATTTCCATTTGTATCTTTTATTCAGTTTTCATTTTCTCTCTCTCTCTCTCTTTCTTTTTACGTCTATTTTTCTTTCTATCTTTTTTCGTTAGAAAATGTTAGATACCATGGCAAAAGAGAGTTAGGGTTGTTAGGATATAAAAAGAAAAAATGAAAGTAACCGCGAGAAAACTACGTTCTCTTTCGTAGCGATGATCAAAAGCGGTTTGCTCGAGGACTCGCCTGAAGTATCTTGGAAGAACTGTGAGTGCTCGAAAGTTCGTTTGCTTTCCTTTTTTTCTCTTTTTTTTTTTTTTTTTACGCTTTTCTTTACCTATCACCACGTAACACACAAGACTACCTGTCACCATTTTCTCTGTTTTTCGACTTTAGTTTTCTTTTTTTTTCTTCTTTCTTTTTTCTTTATATTACATAGTAGTAGCCACAGCATTCATGAAATCTATATCTCAGGATAATCTTTACTGTCATACTTTAAACTTTATCCAAGGAGCTTTGAAAATTGAAGTAAGCTTACCAGGTGCTTTCGTTAAAAGCGACCTAACTTTTCCAACTTAATAACATCGAGAATGAGAATAAAAGAGAAAGAGAAAGCAAGAAAGAGAGAGAGAGAGAGAGAGAGAGAGAGAGAGAAAGACTTGGAAAAGTTTGTTGGCTTTTCAACGACGATTAATGGTAAAGTATAAATGCGGATAGAAAATCCGACTTTTACACTTTATTATTATAATAATTATAATACAATAATAAATATGCCACTTCACGTTCATTGTCATTTTATCCGACGGATTGATATTCAAGAAAATCCTTCGTCAAATTTGTACAATAGAACTAAGTAAAAGTTAATTAAAATATCGAAGAGAAAATATGATGTTGAAATTTGTTTCACGTATTTTATACAGTTCAATCGAAGTACGTTAGAAGGATGAAAAAAAAAAAAAACAAGAAAATAGAAAATAGAAAATATTGCAATTCGATCATTAAGAAGATTTTCGTGAAATGCGTAAAAAAAAAAAAAAGAATGTCACTAAAGGAAATCGATTTCAGAATACTTCAACGAATCGATTGAGTTAAAGTATTGGAATGAGTAAAAGAGAATCAGTTCTCAGGGGAAATGAATTGTGTATCCTTGGTCGAAGGATCGATAGGATGCATTTGAAAGGAAATATTTCCTTTCTGCGATTATTCTCCAAGACAATGAACCATCAAACCTTTTTCACTAATTGTAAAAGTGAGAAAGAAAATAATGCTTATAAAACAAAAGTCATCGATAGCTTTCTTATTTCATATATATATATATGAAAAAAATATATATATATATTCTCCTTAACTTAAATTTGATAACATAAACATAAACATATAAACATAATAATAATTAGAAAGTTTGAAAAGAGAGACGGTTATACGGTGATAAGTAAATAGAAAAGACGGTTGGATAAGAAAAATTTTTTAAATAGAAATTAGACAATCTTGATAATTATTATTATTATTATTAACTGACATTAGAAAATCGAAAGTTCATTGCCGCAAATATCAAATCCCGAGGCCATTGTTCCCATTCCTGAGCACAATACTTCCATTCGAGGTCTTCGTATTCTATTTCTTTCAGCTCTCTTCTAATATTATCCTCTCATCTACGTCTCGGTCTACCTGATGGTCTTTTCCCATTTGGTATACCTACCAATATTTTGTGTGTCGTTTGATCCTCCCCCATGTGTGCCACATGACCAGCCCATCTTAATCGGCGTAATTTTACGACGTTGATAATGTCTAGTTTGTTGTACAATCGATGTACTTCAACGTTATGGAGTTTGCTCCATTCACCCGTTTACCCATCGCGTTTTGCATCGAAGATTTTACGAAGAACTTTGTTTTCGAAAACCTTCAATTTCTTTTCGTCTTGTAACATGAACGACCACGATTCGCTACCATAAAGAACTATCGGCAGAATGATTGTCCTATAAGTACCCCCTTTATGAACATAGTGTAAATGTTCATTGAAAATAATTAATAAAACTTAATCTTTGTTCACAGAGAAACAATATTTCGTTTATTACTATTACCCAAATCTAACAGAATTATATATTGTCAAATATATATATTATTATACTATAAAATAAAACAATATAAAAATTACAAACTAATTATCGATTAAGAAAAAAAAAAAAGTAGAAAAGAAAATAAATGAAAATGATTATTATCGTAATACTGTTCGACAGAAAAATTCACCTTGTAGATGAGTACCCGAACAAAAGAAAAACTCTGCGTGACTTGAGTTGAGAATGAAAACATCGATTTCAAACCTAACCGTACTTTAATCTTACCCGTGAAACCCATTTTTCCGAGTATATCGATCTCACTGAACACTTGAAAGCAAAGTCAAAGAGTACCACCTATGCACACGAATATACATATATGTTTTAAATATACAGGGAAAGTCACTTAGTGACGGACACATAAGGTTTTTCGGAAATAAAATAAAAGCTATTTTAAAAAATGTAACTGTTTTTTTTTTATTTAATTAGTGAAATCAACAAATTATAGAATCAATATAAATTTACAAAAATATAACTTCTATATAAAAATATTTAAAAATAAGAATTACATTTAAATAAATCATTTAATATACATAATGTTATAATAATAATATATTATTATTATTAATTTATTTTTATTATATGTTTTTATTATTTATATTATACTAAAAGTATAAAATAATTAATCCACTGTTAAACATTTGGGTTTTTGCCAGTGAATTTTACTCGATCATGAAATCCTTTGTAATTTCTATTAAATTTCAAATTTCAAATTTTCTTTGTCAATCCCCAAACAAATTCTGTAATAGTTTTTCTAACGTTTGATTTAAACTGAGTCGTTAGATTTAAATTCAATGTTACTTGTTATATTTACAATATCTTTTAGATAAACATCGTTAAACTGTAAGCTTTGTTCTTCATCTATTTATGTATTTACACTTGTGATATGTTCTCTCTGAGAAGGTTATCCATATTTACCTTGTTTGATGTTTTTTCACCTTGACATAGTTTGATGTATTTAAAATCTCTTTGTGTAAATTTGACGGTTGGTAGTTAACTGATATTTCAAAATTCTATCCATTAGGTGTAGTTATTGAAATTATGCATATAATATCTGATTTTTCATCTGCTTTTGGTTTCACTGCCAACTTAAATCTTGATCTTTCCATATTTTGTAAAATATTTGCAGAAGATATTGTATTATAATGAGTTTTTCATTAGATTAGAATCTTTGATACGTTATCTTTTCAAATAAAGACAAAGCTGCGTTTCTCTATAACAAAAGAAAAACCCAACACTTAAAGTTATTATCTCATAAATTAGCCTTTTATCAATTTACTTATAATAATATTTAATAATAAGTATATATAATATAAAAATCAAATGAATTTTCTATTTCTCCTTACCATTTTGTAAATTTTCTTTTTCTTCAACATTACTTTTGTATGGGGATGATGTTGAAATTTCACTCTTTTCACTTTTCTTTTTACGTGCCGATAATCGTTTTTTTTTTTTGGCAGCAACTATTTTCGAGACAATAAAATATTTTCACTGTCCGACGTTAAGGAATTATTTTTGTTTGATACTAAGGGACAAAATAATACTAACTTTACGTGATCTATACTTAATCCGTTTTGAAAATCAACAAAAAAAATTCATATACAACAAATAATAATTTAGTCATTTATAAATGAACAAATACCATAAAGACTTAAACACAGAAATGTAACTGTAACACTTTTCAATTTTACGTGACGCAGTGTTTTCCTAACGAAAACAGAAATCGACCGCTCCTGATGTTGTCTTGAGCGTCACTGACATACTTGGTCGTGTGATCCTATATCATAACGCTTCCTTCCTCCCCCCACTCACACCCCTTTCACTCGTTTTTGAATCGTTAACGTTCAAATATGAATATCCGACATTAGAAGCCGTTCAACGTTACGTGAACTACCCATATATATATATACAATACTTTTGACCTTTCAACTCGCCTTGAGGATCTTAACCCGATATAAATTTCGAAGAGAAGGTACGAGAAGAATGTAGCCACTGAAAATGATTCTCTTTCTCTTTCGTTCTTATATGATCGACAGTAATTTAGTCTAAAAGATCCACGTAGTAAAGAAGTCAGACCAGTAAAAGCGTGGGTGTAAGTTTAACAAAGTTTAATCAGAGCCGACGGTAAGTTTGCCATAAATCCTTCGAGCCTGTAAGAGTTCCTCGTACTTCTTTCTCTTTCTTCTCTTGTTACACCGATAGGAATAAACGAGAAAGGAGATAATCTCTGGCAACGTGCGTTAAGATTCGAAAGGTACAAGGAAAAGGAGCGTGTCCTAGTAGCATACATTATCCTTTACCTTTTCATCCCTTCGTTTCTTCTACCCTTTTTCCATCCCCTTATAACCCCTCCCATTTCCGTCTATTCTCGACTACCTACCTCCTCTAGGAGGTGACTTTTACCCCTGTATTCTTTTTCTCCTTCTACTACTTTCTCTTTTCAAGAATTTCGTCTCTTTCTAGTCGTTCTACTACACTGGTACCTTTTCTCATTCCACCTCTCTTTCTCGTCTCCGAGCTCGCATAATCGTGTATTTGCATGCAAATTCGATATCACTACTTAAAATGTAAAACAACCCCGTGTTCTCTCTCTCTCTCTCTCTCTCTCTCTCTCTCTTTCTCTCTTTCCTTTCTTTCTTGCAACGTACTTTTCCTACTTCTTCTTCTTTTTCTTCTTGTATTTCTCAATTCATCTTTCTTTTTCCCTCTTTCTATTTTATGTTAAAGTGAATAGAAAAGAGCTTAAAAATGTGACAAATTGGTGAAACGAGAAAAGTGTCTTTGCGATAAAAATAAATTTCTCGTTTGTTTTCTGACATGAATTAAAATCCTGTAAAATTTCCTACCATTCCATTCTATGAATTTGATTTTTTCGAATTAGAAGAGAGCTCACGGATTTGGATTTATATCGAAACGGAGAAAGAGGGGAGGGGGAGAGGGTGGATTCGTGGATTTGACGAAAGATCGATCGTACAAGTTGATGAAACTTTCGTGGGAAATTTGGAACGCTAACAGGATTAGTTTGGAGAATCGAAACGTTCTCAGGATTATGCATCGACTTGTGATCGGATGTCGAATCGAGTATTCGTGGTTTCGTTAATTCGTCTTATTTCCATTCCCATTATTTTCAAAACTTGTTCAATTTCCTTCGTTAAATTAAAATTAATAATTAATGAAAATTCGTTCATTTAACGTAGATCCATAAAATTATGATGTTTTATCAAAAACGAGAATTAACACTCAAATTTACTCGAGAGAGAGATTAAAATTTTGTAAAAAAAAAAAAAAGAAATACGGTAAATAAGAATCAAGTCATTCTAATGTGCATACACGTGCATAAACAATTACGTTTTGTTGTCGCAAAGAATGAAAATCTACGTTAAAAAAAAAAGACAACATATTACAAATAAAAACACATAGAACTATGAAATAAGTATAATATATATTATATGCGTATACAACTGAACTATTATGTATGTATATACATACATATATACATCACTCGAGCTAATCTTCGAAGTGATAGTCGTTACATAAGATAGACGTAGCATACATTAGTATGTATGTGTATGTATGCAGTACGTGTCGTGTACTCTTGTAACGTGTACCACGTCGTTGCTGAATGGCCGTCTCTCTTGATTAGACGTTGCCAGCGATGTTTTGGCAAATATTTGTTTACATCTCTCCGAGAATCTATTATGCTTTGTACGCAGATAAAAATAATGGGATACAAGATATATGACATTTTTGTGTGTATGAAAAAAAAGAAAACTGAACAATACATTTCTTTTTAAAAATATTGAACAAAATAATTATCAATTTTATAATGCGTACTATCAATTCAATTTTTAATAATAAAATTAATTTTGCGATTGTATCAAATAGTACTTAACCCTTTGAGTGCTGAATACTTTAAGCTGAAGTATCTTATTATTAATAGTGCAACCATTTCCCTTGATTGATATTATTAACCAAGTCTAATAATAAATTATATTTATAATTAAACATTTTGTTTTTGTTAATATAATTTTCATGTAACAAGTCTCAAAACGCAAATCAACGTTACATTATCTTACATTCATATTGACAAACACGTATATGTGTTTCGATTGACCACATTGTCAACTTTTATCAAACGCATATATGCGTCTACAGTAGTCAAAGGATTAATCCTAATCCTATTTAATATTCCCTTAAGATAGATGCGCATTCGTACTTACCTAAACCTGCATGTCCATAACAAAAGAGACAACCGTCCGTACCATTGATGACAGCGTGAATGACATCGGTAAGGGCGCTCGAACAAATCTCTGTCTGGAATCATAAACACCATAAAGTCAATATTATATTCCAAATACAACTATAATCTACTTTCAAATATACCTATCAACTATTTCATATTATTCTGATAATGAGTATAGCGAAAATTATAAAATTTCATATTAAAAAAAATATTTAATTTCCATGAAGATAAATTGATTACGAAATTGCTTGTTAAAATAAAAATCGCTTTTACTTTATGAGTAATAATATTTGATTGGTCAGAAAAATAAAAAGACTTTTCCCTTACGAGAAAAAAGGAAAAGATAAAGATAAAGAGAGAGAGAGAGAGACAGAGTGAGGTATGAATTTAATTGAATCCACCCTTCATTGTAGCCAGAGCAATCCTCTATGTTTCAAGGAGACGACACGATAGAGGGAACGGGAAGAGTAGGAGAGGATTCGTTCGGAAGAGCCAAAGGAGGAAGAAACTGCGTCATCAGGACACTCGAGGATAATGACGAATCGCGTAAAGTGTTTAAGAAAACGTCTGCAGGACGGTTTAATAAACGCTTGTGAGGTCTCTACTCTCTTTGTAAAGGCAATGAAGGAGGCAGGGCGGGAGGGAGGGAGGGAGGGTGTTACAACAGAGGGAAGCGTAAGAGAGGAGGGGGTATGGGGGTAAGAAAAGCGAGTTGTTGGTGGAGTGTCTTTGTTTGATTCTAATATATTCATAGCCTGGAAAAGTCTTTTCGTAGCTAAGCTAGAAGAGTGTCTCAACCCTCGTCGTTGTCGTTCCTTTCTCTTTCATTTTCTTTTTATTTCACCCTTAACACCAACTTCGAGTCGGTTCTTCGTGAACGAGAATACGATAGTATCGAGATTTTAGTAAGGTTATAAGAGAGACAGAGACAGGGAGAGAGAGAGAGAGAGAGAGGGTTGGGAAATCGGATGTAACGACTTTTACGTACGATCTGTCGACAGCATCGAGGGTGTTAAGGAAAACGGGCAGAGAAGGGGAAGGGGAAAGAACGGGGGATGAAGTAGGAGCCAGGGGGTGTTGGGTGTGAATCGAAAGGGCCCTCGGTTCCAGGGTTCCACGAATTTCCTCCGGAAGCAGTCGTGAATTTCCTTTGAGCCTGCATTCGATGTGCGTTGAAATCGATCGATATATATATATATATATATAGGGTTATGTATATATCGGCTATGTCTACCATTAGTTCTCTCTCTTTCTATCTTTCTTCTTTTCACGACTATCTTTACTCGACTAATGTTCGAAAGGGAGACTCCTGGAGAAATAGAACGAAAGGGAAAATAGTACAACCACATTGACAAGCTTTCAAAATTGAGGAAGAAGAAGAAGAAGAAGAAAAAAAAGAAAGACTACGATACCTCGGCCGAACGAGATTGAAATTTTCCTGGACCGAGAATCGGATGAGTCTTCTGACTTGGAATAAAAGAAGAAAAAAAAAAAAAAGAAAAAGAAGATGAAAGATTCGAATTACTGTCGATACCTATGGGAACGGTATCCTAACTCTGGTTTGAAGCTATAACGAAGAAGAAGAAGAAGAAGAAAAAATATATAAAGTTAGAATTATTAGAAAGAGGAAAAAATTGTTAAACTAACGAAAATATACATATATTTAAATATACCTTTCTTTTTTATCATTCGATCAAATAAATATGTTTTAATATTAGATGTCAAATTCGAATAACTTTATTAAACTCGAAGAAAAAAAAATTAGAAAAACAATTGACAATTAACTAAAAAAAAAAGATAAAAATTTTAATTAAATCTCTCGTAATATTATACAAAGGAACGATCGTGTAACAAATATTTTTAATTATACACGAATAGGAATGTAGAAAAATATCTAATATCTAGCGATGAAAGCAACAACGACATTCATAATTATAACGGGATCATCCGTAGGGACGTAATGCAAAGCAAACACATTTCGCAGGTAGCTGCACCCTCGAGAGATCCACGGCACTTCCCCTCTTGGAAGCTTCGCGAAGCGACGGCATGACGGTTAATGAAATACGTGACCGAAGCCTCCGTCATAATCTCAAACACTTGATTCCATGCTCGTGCGGTGGGAGAAATTGAGAGAGACGGAGAGACAAGGGAGAACGTTTCTACCCTCGCTCTTGTCTTCTTTATCTCTCTCTCTCTCTTTCTATCTCCCTCTCTCCCTCTTTCTCTCGTGTGTAACACGAAAAAGGCTCGTGTCCTCTCACGAACGACGCTGATTTGAAAATTTACACGGTTCAATCGATCACTGCTTCACATCTCGAATTGTCAGTTTTCGAATACGTATTGAAATAATAGAATGTCATTTTTTTTTTTTTTTTAATGTATGTATCATCGATGATCGATGAGAATTTGTCATTAATTAAATATCATATACAATAATCTAAATGATCGAAGTGATGATAAAAAGAAAGGAAAGAAAAAACGGGAATAGTAAGTTCGGAGATATGAAAATGAAAAAATAAAAAAGATAAAAAAAAAAAAAGAAAATGATAAGAAAGAGAGATAGATAGAGAGTAGATGGACTAGTATGGTGTGACTTACAAACGATTCTTCGTACGTAGCTCGTAGAGAAGCGTGTCGTCGGCTTGGATTCGACTTGCAGGGCGCGTTTTGGTAACGCAATATTGGCGCACCAGAGTGGAATACCAATAGCGTCAGGGGGTTAGCTTGGATATAGGAGGGAAAAGAGAAATAGGGTAGGGAGAAAGACGATGTTCGAGGTGTGGTTCACCTTCGAACGACGAACGTGGCTTCCATCGTGGCTCCCTTATTCTTCCACCCCTTCTTCTTATATACTAGTCTTTCTCTTACTCTCATTCTCTTTCTTGCTCTCTCTCTCTCTCTCTCGCTCTTTTCCTCTTTTCGTCTTTCTTTCACCCTCTGTTACGACAAAATGTAAAACCCGTGTCGAAAGTTCGAAAAGAAGCTGCGACTCGTGGAATTTCTTCCTACTCGAAGGGTAAAAACGAAAAGAAAGAGAGAGAGGGAGAGAGAGAGAGGGGGGAAGGAAGGTAGGAAGGAAGAAAGAGGGAGACCCTTTTAATGCTTGAAAATAATCGAAAGACACCACCCCTCATAGTAGTAAGCGAATCTCTTAATTTGCAAGTTTCCAGATGTCGAAGAAAACGTTCGTCCTACTACTCGCAAGTAGTAGGACGAACGTTTTGTTCCTTCTTCGATGTCTCTCTCTCTCTCTCTCTCTCTGTCTTTCACTTTCTATACTTCCCCTCTTCTTCCTCCATTATTTTCCTTTTCCTCTTCGTTTCCTCTCGCGAGAAAGCATAGTATCGCGAGCTCTCAAGCACGAAGCCACTAAATTGAGCGGATCGAGCAAGCGAGCGAGCAGAGAATTAAGGAATTACCTTTCTTCGCTCGATTACCATCGTACGCTTTCGTAATCAGCTTTCGCCTTCTGCATAGGCGAAACACGTCTCGCGAACGTTAATGAAACCACGTAGAAAAAAAAAAAAAAGACAATAACTTTCTAGTGGAATATAAAAATTAACGTCGATTATTCGTATTAAACGAAATACTTATAATTTTGTTACCACCTCTAAAAAGGATTAAAAATATGACAATGATTCTTTTCTTCATTTTTTAAGGATGACTAACTTTCAATAGAATAATTTGTTCTGTTTAATAAAAATGTATTATACTTACTCGCATGTAACTTTTATTAAGATAATTATATTAATTATTTGAAATTATCTGTATTCGAGGAAACTTTGAAAATAATTGTACAATATGAATTCATATCATTTGCATTTATTTCGCGAATAATATAAAACAAATAATTATAAAAAGAATAATATAATGAAAAAAACTTAAACGTGTTCTGCGATATACAATTAATAATAATAAAAAAAAAGAAATTAATTATTATAAAAATAATCGTGAAATAAAGTTTTTGTTTTATTTATTTTAATACAAACTTAATAATTGAATAATTATTATTAAAAAAAAATCATCGCGAAAGATAATTATTAATCTTTTGTAAAGACGAAAACTAGATATTGTTTGGATCGATCCAGGCAAAGTTTACGATGATCTCGTAGAGTATGCGAAGTAAGAGTACCTGCTTTCTCGAAGATGCAGTTAAATTTGCATATGGATAAGAGAGTGGAGATAGGTTCCTCGTCGTAGACCGCAAAGCGTCTCAACGACGAGAAGAGGATGATTCGACGTTCGTTGAAAAGCGTATCGAAAACAAACACCCTTCCTACTATCGTAGAAAGAGAGGGATGCATTCCACCCTCGCCGTCAGTGGTACACGTGGCGAAACATGGCATCGACTGCGCTGGTTGGTATTGCTTGTATTGTGTGCGAATATAAAGAGATAGAGAAAGAGAGAGAGAGAGAGAGAGAGAGAGAGAGGAAAACGTACACATAGATGCGGACAGGAAATTCCCTTTTCCGGAATTCACGAGTCGATAATTCCAAAAATTGGATGCAATACGGCCAACGTCCGGTTTTCCTGTCGACGTTATTACATACTCTGACTGTTATTCGCTGTAATTATAAATAATTTCACGAGGGTAGTAATCTCTACTTCTATTTCTCTCTGTTTCTATTTTTTTTTTTTTTTTTTCATTAATTATTATCTTGAACGATAATAGATTTGAATTTTTAAGATAAATCTAAGCAAACCAAACTCGTCCAAGAAAAAATGAAGAAATAAATTTTGAACAAAAATAATTTGCCAACCCCCCACCACCAACCCACCTGAGTAAATGTGATGGGAAAATGATATTCATAATATGTTTTCTTTCCTTCGAAACCGTATTTTTTAGATTAAATTTTGGAAATATTTATCATGCTTCAATGATCGTAATGCAACAATTTGATAGTGAATTCGTCTAGTCCGGTACTACATATTACAAGATCTTATTCGAAGCTATGCAAGACGAGTAGAAGTTTCGTATAGGTACATATAGAAAAATAAGACTCTAGGTTGAATAATCAAGTTCACGATTTAAATTGATAGAAACCGACAGACCGAGTTCGACGGAACGAA